CTCTCTCTCTCTCTCTCTCTCTCTCTCTCTCTCTCTCTCTCTCTCTCTCTCTCTCTCTCTCTTTCTGTCTGGGTCTTTCTCTCGCTGCATTCACTCACACACATCCACACACACACACAAACACACACGCACACACACACACACACACACACACAAACACACACACACACACACAAACACACACACTCACACACACTTCCACACTCACTCACACACACATCAAGACTCACTCACACACACGCACACACACACACACTCACACACCCACACTCACACGCACGCACACAAGTATACACACACCACACACACACACATATACACACACATACACACACTTGCACACACACACACACACCCACATATACATACACACTCACACATGCGCACACACACACACCCACACTTACTCTCACACACACACACACTCACACACACACACACACACACAAACACACACACACACACTTACACACATATTCACTCACTCATGCACACACATATACACACATTCACACACACACACACACACACATTCACAGACACATCCACACACACACACGAACTCACACAGTAAAACACATAGATCATGCTGTGTGTATATACCCTCTATAAATGCTATTATTAGTAAGGCATTGTGGTGAAATCAGGCGCTCGTCAAAAGAATGAAGTCGAAGAAAACTGCATTTTTTTTCCCATTTGGCAATTTTAATGAAATTTCTATTTTTGGACAAAACACTTTATGTCCATTTAAAACACATTTCTGGTTGGCTTTTACTGAAAAACGTCGATTAAAGGCACAAAAAACGAAAAATTTTCAGTTTCCATGAACTCTTCAGCTTTGGAAGTCACCAGACTTTGACGGCCATTTTGTCACTAACATGTGAGGCAGCGTGGTGGAATCAGGCTCTCGTCAATTTTTGGGCATGTAGAGTTCTTGGTATCATCTTAAGGCTTGTTCACTTGCCTTTATTTGGATGAAAAAAATGTCCATTTATCTTGAATTCAAGTCGAGCTATTTACAAAAGAAGGAGGTGGGGGTCACCTGTTTTCAAATGTAAAATTAGTGAGAAAATTGCCGCCAAAGATTAGTTATTTCCTTAGCTTAAGAGTCCGTGGTAAGTGAAAATTTACATTTTTTGTGCCTTTATTCAACTTTTTTCAGAAAAATCCACACAGAAATGAGTTCTTTAATGGGCATGAAAGGTGTTGAGCCAAAAAACAAAAATTAGATAAAAATTTGCAAACCTGCGGAAAAATGCAAGTTTCTTTACTTTAATTTATTTTGACGAGAGCCTGATTCCACCACACTGCCTCACATATTACCTCTGAAACCAGGCAAGCCCACCTCATTTAATCACAAATATCTCGACATGTACTCAAGATAAATGGGTAATTTTTTCATCGAAAGCAAGGCAAATGACCAAGCTCTTAAGGTAATACCAATAACTCCACATGCCCCAAAATTGCCGAGGGCCTGATTCCACCGCGTCGTGACACATTTTGTAAATGATCATTAAATTGACATTTCATGTACATAACTACTTGATTGTTTCTTCACAACTATTATCTGATTCATTTCCATTGTCAGTTGACATCCCAGCTGGAATAAATGAAAGAGGCATTTTCCCTCTTTTTCTGTTAGTTACATGTGGGTAGTTGGTGGGTGCTCTGGTGTGGTTCGCTCCTTCTTTCCTATCAAACATCTGTCATTCTTATCTCTCCTCCTTCTTTCCTATCAAACATCTGTCATCCTTATCTCTCCTCCTTCTCTTTTGTGTGTTTTTACTCTCTCTTGTGTTGCTTCTAATCTTCTGCACCCAAATGACCTTATTGTGTTGCAAGTGCCGTAAAACACATACTGAAACAAAAAACAAAAAAAAACCATCTGACAAAGAGAAAGACAAAGCTCATGACATCTCATTCTGGCATAAAAAAATAAACCAAAAACGAAAGCAAAAATGAAAGTTAGTTACACAGTGTGCTCTTTTTCGCCATTTCAGTTCATTGTGCTTCAACTGGACGTGAACGCGGAGATGACCATGAACTTTTCCGGAATCCCTCAACTCACCGACTACACATTTGCGCTGATGGCAGAGCTACGGAAGACAGAG